GGCGTATGTTGGGTTCAAAACTCTACATCTAATTTCCTCTTATTTCCTATTATACGTAAGTAATGAACAAGCAAAAAGTACCATAAAAAAAGATCAAGATTTTCAACTATCTGATTGAAACATGTAGAAAACACATGAACCATCAATTGTCCTTCAGTTAAGGTTCAAAACATTATTAAATTCAACACATAATAAAAGACTTAAACATATCCTGAATTTTCATAAATTGACTTAAACATACCTTAAGTTTTTGAAATAGACTTAAATATACCTTGTGGGCTGACCCCATTGGACATAAACATACCTCCATCAATGAAACAACTCATTTAAAATTTTTAAAATCCTATTTTGCCCTTCTAAGCATGAAAGAGAACAAACAGAGAAGTGAGGTGAAAGAAGAAATTGCATGGTTTGTAATTTAATGCACCTAATCTGTAAATGCAAAGATCGACTTGCCTGGACTCAATTGCCATTTCAGATCTCCTTCTTAAACCAGGAACATTGCATGTGGAAGATGAACTCCCAACCAAGCTTGCTTGGCAAACTGATTCTATGGATGGACCGCCTGCGCATTCAAATCCATCAACAGATGGGATTTCTAAACTATAAGCACCAAATCGATCGGTAGTTCTGTTGACCAAGAAGGAGAGCCTCTTTGAGGTGGTTGGTGAATTTGCATTGAACTTACAGCCCATGTCAAGGTTCAAAATTTTGCAACGTATCAGCCAAAATGTATCGTATCTTTAAGGGATCGGCATGGGAAATGCTACAAAATCATTTGTATCATGTCTTTTCATCATGCCGGCCCCATATCAGGGTGTATCGAGAGTGTATCGGACCTGTATTGCAGCATATTGGGGTGTATCGGGACTGTATTGTAGCTATATCGGGGTGTATCGACTGATACAATACGATTTCCTATAGACAAAAAACAAATTAAATTTTTTTGAGAAAAAAGGTTTCTAACTCTCTCCAAAAGCCTTCTTTTTCTCCCAAACTCACCAAATTATCCCTACACATTCTTGGATTGTAAAATCTTTAAAAATCATCCCTATATGTATGTATGTATGTATGTTCTCCTTCTATTGAAAATCCCTATATATTTTGTGCTTTAAATAGAACTATTTAATGTTTTGAAGAAAATTTAGAAAGAATATAATATAACAAAAAATAAAATTTTATATTTTTGGTGTAATGTGCCCATGAAGAATAATTGTGTCATAGATCAATGGGTGATCTACCATATCCATAGATCTATTGAAATTTCAAAAATATTCATTTTTTATTTTTTGTAATTTTTTGAACAAAAAAGTATTTATTTTTTTAATTTTCAGTATGAAAAAATATTTATTGTTTTGAAACAAAAAAATATTTATTTTTAAACTTTTTGTAATTTTAAAATAAAATTTTCCAATTTTTAATTCATATATCTATTGAAATTTATTGTTAAATATTTATTTTTTCTAATTTTTGGTGCGATTTAACCATAATATTTAGCATGTTTTAAATCTATGGATGATCTATCACATCCATGAAATTATTTTTTTGTTACATTTTATTTTTTAATTTTTGTTCTAATTTTTTAATAAAAAATAAAATAAGTTTGAATAAGAAATAAATAATTGTTTAAAAAATTTAGAAAATGTTTCATTAAATAATTGTTAAGCTTATATTTTATAGTTATAACCTTATTAGAGAATACCTTTATATTTTCGTATGTTTGATTATGTAATTTTTTTATAAAAATCAGTAAAAAATGTGATTTTTATGTATATATAGCTCATTTAGGCCCTATATTTAATGTTATTGATGTATGTTTATGATTTATTGGAGTATCTGTAGTGTTTTCATGTGTATCATAATTTTAGTCCATATCCATGTGTATCCAAGGCGTATCCCAATACATCTCTTAAATTTGTCTTTCCATATGCTTAACATTTTTGATACTTTGAACCTTGGTCCATGCGAACTTTTACATCTGTTCAGGTAGTTTAAACCTACTAAAATCTCAAGTCCACACAAGAGAATTTGAAGAATCTTGAATGTATTTATTGTGTCAAATTTTATTACCTGGTAAGAAGTAGCTCTATCTAAAAAAGATGTTGAGCATATGTCACAATAGACCACTCTCATTACAGTGATTTTAGCGATAGGTTTGCTAGGTGAATCTTCAGAGAGAGTAAGGGAGTAAAGAAAGACACAAGAAGAAGAAAGACCCTTGGATCCATGGCATCCAAAATGGGAATGGGAGTAGAAGCTTCCACCCAAGTTGTGCTATTTAGTGAACATTAATGAATAATTGTATTATTTGTATGGTTTGATAAATGAATATGATGGCAGAACGAGAGAGACCACCACTCACATCAGTTTGAAAATCTTAGGGTAGATTTTGAAATTTTGAAAGAAAATGAAGGATAAAAGAGTTATAAGGTATTTTAAATCTTTTTTAAAAAACTCAGGGTATATTTAAGTCAATTTAAAAAAACTCAAGTTATATTTAACTCCTTTACCCTACATAATATCCATTGTCCAAGATGTGTATGAAGACTTGAGACGGGTTGGGAGGTTTGGGTTTAGCCTACTACCGTACCCTACCCATACCCGTACAGGTTGTAAAATCCCAAAACTCATTCCTGCCTCAAAATCCACTTTCCAAACAAAAAAATCCACCCCATAGAAGGTAAGGCAGGTACCCAACAGGTAGAGTGGAAATGATCAATCTCACACGTGTGTTTTATGTTATGCCTATTTTAAATTTTCAACCAATGCTCAAAATTAGGGATGTCAATGATATTAGAATATCCTATTTCCAATTTAAGATGCGACACAACCGAATCAAATTCGAATATCCTATTCATACCATTTAAGTAATCAAATTGAATTTGGATATGGCCTGATTCAATTCGATAAATATCCAAATTCAACCGGTTATTTAATTTTTATATATAATGTATAAGATGCTTAAATATTTTATATAAATAAAATATTTATTTTATATATCTATTATTTATATAAATAATTAATCAATTAAATTTGAATCAAATTGAACATTCTAACATTTTCAATATCTGTTGGATATCAAATTGAATTTAGATATCAAATTTTCTCATCAGATTTGAATTCACATATTATTTGATTTGAATTTGATCCATTTACGTCCCTACTCAAAATATCAGTGACCAATACATATTGGTTTTCAACCCTCCAATAGATTAAATCAAGGTTCAAAATATCAATACACCCGATACACCCCTATCAGCGTATCGGGCGTTTCGATACTTGTTTTTTTACTTTTTTTATTTTTTTTTCAAAACTGGTTCAGGGGAACCAGTCTAGGACCCCTCCATCCCCTGAACCGGTCAGACCCCCAATACACCCACTGTAGGGGCGTATCAGAAAGGTCCCGAAACGATACATATCAGCCAATACGGGCCGATACGTAACGATACTTTGAACCTTGGATTAAATACTTATCATTTATTGATTTTCTCTTTTAATTTTACATATGAAAATACAACTGGCAATAAATCAAAAAACAATAAAAAAATGACCACTCAGAAATTTCCATAATCAATACAAACAGAACATGTAAGGGCCATTAGGGTTCTAAGGCCCCAGAAACCCAGCCACCCCCTCCTGGGTTTATTAGACTTCACTAAACAACTGGGCTGACAAACAAGGGAGCCTCGATTTTGGATCTTTTGTGACCCTGAGGATGTGCTACGTTGCCCAGTACTTTTGACCCATTTTTCTGGGCTGACAAACACGGGAGCCCGGATCTACTGCACTTGGGGCTGTTCAACGAATAAGGACGTGTCTGGATATGTTGCACATTTTTCTCCTGCACATGGCCCGACTTCCATTCAGTCTGTGAAAGGTGTTTGTTTGAGCTGGGCCCAGACTGGGTTTTTGAATTTACATGTAGGTAATCTGGTCAAAGAAAAGGCAGTCCGGCCAAATGGGTTATGATGTCTGGAGGGGAGGGGATTTGAAGTAAATATGATTGGGCAGCAGAAGTAATTCCAAGCCCTGCTCGAGTATAGGTCTCCTTTAGCCTTGGGCTATAATTTTGGAATGGAATTGGTAGTTCAGGGCCTTCAGGCCATAGAGCCAGTCCATCCCAGTATTCAGGCCTAATGGGCTAAAGCATTTAGCTCTAAGATATATACAAGGACAAGGGCATCTTATAGACGAGGACACATCTCCCTTCCCGTCCCACTCCCATCCTAGGCACAGGCAGGCTGACAGAAATGTATTGTTCCGCAAGAGACTTCGGTTCGAGAGTATTGAAATTCATAGAAACAGCAAATGAGGGGACCTTCATTGCAAATTTCCAACCCCCCCCCCCCCAAGGAAAGGAATGCCATAAAATACCAAGGATATCAAGGCCGATTCAAAGCAACATCAGAAATAACAAACCTAAATAACTATGGGTTGGCTTATTTTGCACAACAATTTCATTTATGGGAGTGCAAAAGTATGAGAACAAATGAATTGAGAGCATAATCAGGTGTACGTGGGCTTTACACTATTATCATTTGCACTCCTATACATTTGAGCATTGAAGCAAATGCTACAATGAAGAAACTGCACTGTGAAGCAAATATGCAAACCAATCAGTAAACTGTTAAGTAGACAATGTGGCATTTTTAACGTGATACATGTTTTTGCTTCAACTGCACCATAGTCACACTCCATATTTAAATTAGTAGAAATAAATTTGTACAACAAACAGATAAAAGCCTAACGTTAAAATAAAGACAAAAAAAATACAAGACTAAAGAAGACCATCAACCACACCAGCAACATTTCTTATGAATTAAAAGAACTAGAGGCAGACAAAGGACATGGGTAGAGGATAGTGGCAAATGATTTTAAGGTTCATAATTTAACAATAGATATGCAACTGAACATAATAGTTGAATAGGATTCATGTAGCTAACACCATGTAGTTAGGACAAGTCTTAATTATAACGGTAATGATGACAAAGTAAACAAGGAATAAGAAGAAAGTCAATCAGATATCAGAGCAACGGTACCTTATCAGTTTTTTACACCACTGAAACAGTGAAAATATGAATAGGGCTCTTTACAACTTTCTTTACCATACCTTGTTTCCTGTCACCTAACAATAGTAGTAGTGGTGAGGGGCATGTTAGGAACCTAAAAGATGAAAGAAATACACTACAAGCTGCTCTATTAATTAAATAGCCACCTCTTCTTCCACATTTGCCTATACACATGCATACTATGTTCCCCTACACCTTATTTCAACATGATAAGAATTGAACAAACTTAATTCTAGAGATACAATGGCACCAGACTACCTGTGGTTGCAACCTCAGCTATCTATTCCTGATGTAGGACCCAGCACCAGCCATCTATTCTCTATGTTTTGTACACTAGATGATTTAGCAGCCAAATTACCTATGAGCAGATGCATGGGGCATTGGATATGTCATGGGAGCCACATTCATTGGTGCACCAGGAACAACAGATCCGTGAACTGGGGGTTGAACACCATATGCCATGTGTGCTGGGGCAGGAAGATTGACTGGAGTTCCAACAGCTGAAATGAGAGGTCCTCCAATGGGCTGGCCTATAGTAGTAGTGCCATAGACACCAACACCAGGGGCACCAGGTTGGGGCTGAGGTGATTGCTTATTGGATTTACCAGTTGATGCTCCTGTACTGGGTGCGCTGTTTTGACCAGTAATTGGCCCTTGGGGCGCTGCTATGTCTCCATTTCCAACACTAGTAATATCATGGATGCTTGCTCGTCTTCTATCTTTGTTCATTGAGTTCAAGCGAATAAAATACTTCTGTGCATGGCTGGCCACCTGTGTAGGCGTCCTGGACACCACAAAGTTTCTGGATATACTCCTCCAATCTCCTTTCCCATATTTATCCAATCCAAGAAGAAATAATCTGTTCCACAGCAGTAACAATAAGAATATGGAGAAGTTGATAATTTGATAAAATTGAATTAAAAAAAAACTAAAATGCTTGTTATTGTCAACTGTGTAGGGGTAATTTTGTCTTTATGCTTATGATTAAGTTGCTGATGTGTAAAGTTATGTTAGTCCTTATGTCCCTCACTTAAGTAGGGGAAAAGGTGTCATTTCCAGATTAATAGAAATATAAAACAGATCTGGCCGAATGTGAGAGACTGATTTTCTCTCTTGTTCAAACCAGACCTTTCCCCCCTTCTATTCTCTTCTCTTCTTCTTCTCTCTCTTCTCCTCTTTCTTTTATCTGTTATCATTCTAACAGAATTCAAGGGCAGGCCGAATTCTAATAATACTTATGAAAAAATAAAAAAAGAAATGTCTTGTAATGCTCCACTAGTGCATAAAAGGGGTTTTTTGGGGTCAGTAACCACAAATATATATATATATATATGTAATTATGTATATAGCCAATAAACATAACAAAAACCTATCAAAAAAAAAAAAAAGAAAAGAAAAAAAATAGGTATTCAGCTCCATTTTCTTTCTTTTTCCAACAATAAAAAGCAAAATGTTATATTGAGTCTGAGGATAGGTAAGTACATGGCATCATGGCACCAAGACTAAACAAAATTAACAAACCCTTAAGTCTCTCTCTCTCTCTCTCTCTCTCTTGATTTGTCAAGAGAAAGTGAAACAACAGAAACCTTTAAGTCTCTCTCTTGTAATTTCATTCCATATCTACTTGTAACTCAAGGAGCTCTTTTTCTTCAACTAGAGGAATCCAATACAACTTTAAAGAAATAATAAGACCTGGTTAAGTCGTTTGATGGTGAAATTGTGGTAATGGGGATTCTCAAGGAAACTCTCATACTCCTCAAGTTTAATTGATTGTTTCTCTTTCATTCTCTCTTATGCCTTCTTCTTGTCTATCTTGTATTACTTTAACCGATGAAAGTATTTAAGCCACACACAGAGACAGTTTGGATGATATTCAGTGCACTTTCACAAATGATGAACAAGGGAGGTTTTCTGATTGGTGTGCTCCAATGTTGCTGTATTAGGTGGGGGGAGGAGAAGAAGAAGGTGTTTTAACTTCAAATATTGTTGAAGTCTCTTCAGTTTCCCTCCAGCAAGCCTTACAAACCCAAAATCTTCATTACGGGAAGCAAGAAAGAGAGAGTGACAGAATGGGGAAAGAGTTGTAAAATGATTTTAAGAAACGGCAATTTAGCCCCACAAAATATTAACCTTTTGTCCCCACTACTTTTGCAATTTGTTTAGAAACATATCTGATTTTGTCAATCAATGAAACATTGTTAATTTTTTTTTGTAAAAAACCCTTGGGTTAATTATATTAATAACTTTTAACAAAAAAATAAATTACTGCTAATTACTTAATAAAATAATTATGTTTCCATATTATCTATTTGTGTTCTATTTTATTTATTTTAATTTATTAATGATTAGATGTTACAATTTTTTGTAATTTTTACTTAAATATTAGTAAATATATAAAATTATGCCATAACCATAATTAATTAATCTATAGATTAACTTTTTTAGTCATAATTAAATTAACCTTAGCCTGAGCTCAAGGTTTAAGTCTTCAAACTAGACTTGGGTTGATCCTCAACCTAACCCAACCCACCCAAGTTGCACCCCTAAGAGAAATGTGATATTCGTAACTTTTTTAACAATAACAATGTGATGTGACATTTGTAATTGGACTGACCAAACTGAGTACAACTCATTCATGCATTAATTTTGGGTTTTTAACTATTTTTAGATAACATTAAAGCCAATCAAGCTATGGGGGATGGGCTGGGCTACCCCCATTGTGTAGGCCAATGAACCAAAAAACTAAAAGATCTCAGGCCAGATTTTGATAATGAATTAACAGCTTTTAGGGCCCAGCCCGACCCACACCTCAAATGTAACAATATTTGTCTGGGCCTAGGACAGGAACAGGCTTGCCCATGTTAATTATAAAACTATGATTTTTTTTACAAATTAAATTTACTGAATTTTATCTATTCTAAAAAATATATATAGAAACTTCTATCCATATTTTAATATAAAGTTTTTTATCTAAATATTATATAATAATATTTACCATATGTATATAATTTCCAGGTCAAGCTTAGGGGTTGCTTAGTTTGGGCCCTATCAACTATGTCATTGGACTCAAAAAGTCTAATACCCAATTATAAGCCAAACAAACAGTCAAGCAGCAAAAATAGTCATCAAAACTATCCTTACTGAGCGAAGAAAAAATACCATCAAAGTTCAGTTTCACAAATACTCTCTAAGAAAATATAGGGTGGAGCCCCATTGTTCATGAAATATAAAGGTCCCTCGTGTTGAAAAAGAGATGAACATAAGGTGGAGCTCATGTTTTTACAAGTAGAAATTTCAAGCTTCAAACCTTTTCAGCGAACTAGCAGGGGAGCTCAAGGTTGAAACATGGAGATGAAGCTTCTTCAAATGAGGGTTTTGGTGAGGGTTTCTCCATATCCCCAGTCAACCAGTCAGGAACAGTGCAGATCCAATTACTTATAAAGGTGAGATGAAATTATATACATACCCCTCATAAAATAAAAGAAATTTTAAAAGGGGAAAGATTTTTTACTCTTCAAAAACACTATTCATGTTAAATTGCACAACTCAATTTAAAATCGTGATTCAAAATAGGGATGCAATAATTCGTTTATAAATCGTGTGATATTTTCAAAAAGCAATCTGCTAATGTGATTTGAACCTTTTTATCTACAATTTGATTATGGGCATTCTTTGCTTTTTTTATCAATAACAAAACTTTCATTAATCAATCAGAATAATTAATTATACAAAGGGGGAGATAAACTCTCTTAACTCCCCAGCAGAGGCATGAACCCCCACAATGAGAAAACCAGAATTACAACTTAGCCCAAAATATAGATTCCCTGTCCACCCCTAGCTTAGCTAACCCATCAGCAAACGAATTAGCAGATCTCTTCACCCAACTGAACTTTATTTCCATGTCCTTAACCAGCCATCTGAATTTTCTCCTTTTGTCGTTGTAGTTCCATAGTCCAGCCTTGTCATTCTTGCAGCCACCCTACCACCACCTCTAGATCCCCTTCAATTGCAAGCCTTCTAATGTTCATATCTTTTGCTCTTTGGGCACCTTCCAAGACTGCAAAGATCTCACAGCCCTGAGAGAGTCATCGCTCCTGATTGGGCCTGAGAACAGAGCTAAAGCAGTCCCATTCTCATCCCTAAATACACCCCCAATGCCTGACTTCCTAGGATTCCCTCTACTACTACCATCAAAGTTCAGCTTTATAAATCTAGTGGGGGCAGGGGTCCAAGACAGACTTAGACCCATTTTGACCTGGGCACTACTAGCGATCTCTCTCCAATTCCTTGGCAGATCATCCACAGTAAAATCTATGAATAGGTCCGATGATTTCAGCCATTGAACTACCCTAATGTGAACCAGCTCTATCAAATTTTCAACACTTCTCTCTCTTTCAGAGAAAAGTCTTGAATTCCTTTCTTCCCAAACTGACCAGCACACTGCAGCCCTTAGGCATCTCCACATAGTTCTACCCCTTTTCAAATGCCACCTGAAAAAAGAAGAACAAGAAAGGCTCTGCACATCCACAGGGGGGTTCCACCCAAGCCCGAAGAGAGAAAAGGCCCATCCCCAAATAGTTTTGGCAACCCGGCAAGAAATCAAAAGGTGAAAACCAGTCTCCCCATCAACTTTACAAAGAATACACCTATGAGGGGATAAACAAGTCTTGGGTCTCTTTCTTTGAAGCAAATCACTAGTGTTGATTCTATTAAGAAATAATTCCCAACAAAAACTTCCAACCCTAGGAGGATTTGGCTTGCACCAGATCTCTTTAACAAGGAAAGAAAAGCCTACGGGATTATCTGACTGAATCAAGACTTTAAAGAAGGAAGCACAAGAGAAGGAACCTGAGGGGGTGGGGGTCCAAATTCTAGTGTCTTCCTTAGTGGGGTCCAGGAATACCCAGGAGAGCCAAAGTGTTGTTCAGGTCTATATCTCTAACAGCCCTTCTCAAGCCCAAGTTCCAACCAGACCCAGAATTTGAGGAAGAAGGAACAATGAAGGAGGATATGGGCTCATTTTTTAGGTCGGAGAGAGCATACAAAGACGGAACCTTGTCCTCCAATGGGGAATTCCCCACCCAAGTCTGTTCCCAAAATTTTATGAGGTTGCCTGAGTTTAAATCATACCTAATTAAAGGGGAAAAGACAGGTAATAAGTCATGGATGGCTTTCCAAGGTGAAGCACTTGTAGTCCTTGCCGGAGTTCCAACATCCCATCCATTGTCCTCCAGCCCATGAATACTCGCCACTATTTTAGCCCACGGCTTCTCCTCTAAAGAAAACCTCCATAACCGTTTCCCCAATAAGGCCACATTTCTTTTTTCTAATATTCCCAATCCCTAAACCTCTTGACCTATTGCTTCTAACCACCACCTCCCACCCCACTCTATGGTCCCTCTTCTCCTCTCCCAACTCCCACAAAAATTCTCTCATCATCGTTTTCCAACCTATTGGACACCTTTGCTAGAATCTTGAACACTGATAAGAAGTAGATGGGTAAATTGACTAGGGTGGCCCTAATCAGTGTAATCCTCCCACCAAGAGAAAGATAGTTTTTTTCCAAGAAGAAAGTCTCTTCTCAAATCTTTCCACCACCGGATTCCAAAAACTACATTTCTTAGGGTCTCCCAAAGGTAATCCAAGATAACTCAATGGCAAAAACAAGTAGGGGAGGTAGGAACAGGTCAAGTTCAGGAACAAGGTGTTAGTGTTGGGATGTGGGCCTCCGAACGAGCCCAAATCGAGGTGCAACTGACGAACAAATCCAGTTAGTGGTCCAGGTGAATGCAGAAGAGGACCACAACCCTTCACAGTCTACCTTTGGGCAAGGATCTCCTCTTCCATTACAAGGAGTTT